CACACCAGATCCACCGGCTGCTAAAACTAGCATAATTTGTGGCACCACTAAACTAGTTCTCTGTTGTAAACACCGTGGCAGATGACATGGAGAAAGTTCAGGGAGGCTTTGCTTTGAACCAATAATGATGAATAATTCGTGGACATGTGTTTTAATAGGTTAACTCAAAAATCGCTGATCTGATTTCAAGCCAGCTCAAATTATCTCCACCTGCCCACAGCAATTTTTACCCTCAAAATCAAGATGAAAACTGCCCAATCTGGCAACACTGTTCATTAGAGGCTTCAGTCTTGGAAGCTGTATTACTTAAGCATCCAGGATGATTTTCTGTCATATAAGTGTGGTGAATGGAGACAAACTGTATGTTCTATGGAGATAATGATTATATTAATAACAGGTGACAATTTTTAACAGCGTTGTTAAAACTACTAAGAAAAGCCTGGTTAGTGTCAAGTAACCATCTATAAGAAGATATTCCACCGATAAAGAATGTGATTAGACAAAAGCCTTTGGATGACTGTGGTGGCTCTCTGCAACATCATTGAAGAATATGAACTAAATCTAAATTGTTTGCTTGTATAAGTTTTATGTACATTTGTGAACTTGTCTGCCCAATCTAGCTTTTAAACTGTATACTGTCTTCTTAAGACCCATTCAAATGCATTACTTTTAATCCCAGATTACAGTGTGATCTTTCTGCTTATATAATGGCTTGAAGAAAACTTCAGAACTAACCAGAACTGTATCTTAAAATATTTTTTTTTGCTAGCAGCAAACTAAGATAGGCTATTTTATGTTAGCCCTCCGACAAAAACAAATGTCCAAAAGTTATAAATGTAAGTAGATATGAGAATACCTCCTGCTCAATCAAGCTTTTCATTAGGGTAGCAAAGGATCCTCAAATGAATGAAAATAATTCTCTACATGAAATTTGACCTCATGTGAACCCTGGTAGATGAAAGCAAACATTATGTCCATGAGCAATCCCCGAATAGACCCAGTGCTGCTTTTGCAAATGAGTCAGTTGATTCCCCCAAAAAATAGCTCCTCTTTTGTGTATGTTAATAAGATCAAAGTGAATAAAAGCTGACACAGAAGATGAGTACTATTAAACAAGCTCTTTATTCATCTGGCAGCAGCATTTCCATTTGATCTTGCGCGAGGCACTCTGAGGGCTGCATGTGAGCTTTAATGCATGTGAAACAGTGGGAAGTTAATGAAGACTGACGCTCCTGTTCACCGTCTTTGTTAGTCTTTCTGACTGTGGCTTTTACTGTAATCACCACAATAATGGCTTTAATAACCAGATGTGCTGCATAGGCATGACCACTATCAGGCAGGTGCAAAATGACACTGCATAATGGGGTACAAAGCATGGGGAATCAGATGAATATGGTTATTTATCGAACGCCATGCACAACATCAGTCATCACAGCAGTTAATTTGCCATCTGTATTCACAAGACAAATCAGGGAGGTTGGTGGCGTTTTTATCTTGCTTTTTCGCAGATTAGTACGGCGGACCAAGTCTATCTGTTTTCTTCAACTTAATTGTGGTGAGCTCTTTCTGTCTGCAGGGAGAGAATGGAGGGATGACAACTAGCTCCAATGTTACCCATCAAGTCTTTCGGGAAGATAATGGGCTGACGCTGACCTGTGAGGCTTTTAACAATGGCACTCATGTCTCCAAAATTCAGATGGCTAAACTCACTGTATTCTGTAAGTAGGCATAATTATACTTTACAAGTTCTATAAGCAACATAGGTAGGAAGTATGCAGAAAAAAAGCATTACCATTATCACTTTTTAAAAAAAGTTCTGTATTTTCAGCTGGATTACCTAAATCTGTATAATTTGCTATTCACTCTTTCAGACTCAAAGTGTAAACACGTTTTCTTTTTGAGGCACTTAGATCTGATTTGTACATTTCACACATCTGTCACACATCCCAAAGGTTTGAATTAGACCACAAGCAAATTGAAAAATCACTTTAAATCAATCTAGAAAGTGAAATCAAATCTATTGTAGAGAAGATAGAAGCCAAGCAATAATGAATCAAGCAGACAGCCCTTTTTTCAACAAGCCCCTATAGAGTTCACGATATTTAGTGGAGATTGTTGATACTTTGTATGTTCTTTTTTATTTTATTTATTTATTTATTTATTTATTTATTTATTTTTTGTTTAAATTAATTTGAGCACGAATCACACAAAGATAAAAAAAAAAAATATTACAGTACATCTAAATTTATCAAAATTTGTAACATTATGTTTTTAAATTTACATCCCTTGAAAACAGATCCCCCTCAGAAAGTGTTCATTGAGTCTCCGCCTGAGGATGTTCCTCTTCGCTCAGGAACCAGGGTCAAGCTCGTTTGTCACTCCACTGGAGGGAATCCTCCTGCGAAACTCACCTGGTTTAAGGTAAAATCCTGCCTTACACAACTTCTATTGTAAGCTAAGCTGAAATGTACACCAATATATATATATATATATATATATATATATATATATATATATATATATATATATATATATATATATTTTGTTTTGTTTTGTTTTTAGAATGGAAAAGAAGTTTTCCTTACGCAGGCGCAAACATCCTCTCACATGGTTGTGACTCTGGTACTTAACCTGGTTTTGACAGCAAGCGACAATCAGGCTGACTACCGCTGTGATGCCACAAATGAGGCAATGAAAACAATCTCTGCACATGCTAAGCTCCTAGTTCAATGTAAGTAAGACAGCAGCTAAATTGCATGCAAACCTTACTACCTTGATTTTTTTTTTGTCACCTCAGTGATGCATATTAATATTAATATTAGATAAACTGATGTCATGTATGTTGAAATATAAAAGTTCTTGATGTGTTTAGATAGTCCATTCAGACTAGAGTATTAATAGTTAAGTACTTAACCATTTCCAGTTTATCTTTATGCACTCTACTACAGTACTGTACACCTTTCCCACTAGCCGAAAAACCCATTTAAACCTGGGAGCGGTAGTCTTCTGGTGCCGGTGGGAACAGCTCAATGACCAGTGTCGACCTGAGTCAAAACAACTTGAGTAAAAATTGCTTTCAAATGGCTCAGCTCCAACCAGCGTGCAGTGGGAACATCAGACCCGGTCGAGCTGCTAATTTATGTGATACCACAGAAAACAATGAACCTACCTCATAATATTACGTGAGTCACGTCTAATCTAACAAGCTGAAGCACCTCTATTTACATGCAATAAACATGGCCAATACAGTCTCAATCCCATCTAGTCATATGTTGACGCTTGGTCAATTCCCTATACGTCATATACTGACGCAAGTGGGATACCCCTCTCGTCAGTAACTGACTTGCAGGGTTCATAACAGGCTGCAGCAGGAACATCCAAAAAATGTTAAAAGGGCCAGTCTGGGGCTGCCCACACCTCTAAATCCTTTGTACATGAGCATAGCCATGCATAGATACCATGGGAGTATGGTTCCAGGTGGTAATGGATACACAGTAATACTAAATACTAAGCTGCAGATATATACTACCCTGAATAATATTGTGTAATCACCATAGATTTTGCCTGCGATGTACATGATTATCTAAGGGATATCTGCTGCTCTTGAAGAATTTGTTTAATGTTTACTTTGTTTGTTTTTTGTTTGTTTCATGCAATCTAAAAACACTAAACACTAAAATCACTTGCTAGTAATGGCCAGTCAAACAAGCTAAGCCAAACAAAAGGAAACTTAGATTAAATTATTTATTTCAAGTCTAGTTCAGTCATATGGTGATTTATTTAGACTTAATTTAAAGGATCATATCTCCACAGGTGGATAATCCAGGGGTATAAGTAAAACCCTGCTTAATTTTCCTTTATCCTGTTCACTTAGTAGGTGATTAACCCCCAGTCTGTGTTTTTGAGCTGGAATTGCAAACGGTTGGAACTACAGTAGTCTCTGTACCTTCTGAACCTGGATTATCCACCACTGATAACATCTAGTTGATCATTTAATGCCAAACTGTAAAAAAATATATCTGAGGAAGGGCAGCTGGTTTGAGTCATTGACTCTGCAGCAATCCCTCGTCATGAGCATAGACATAGTAACACTGGAACACTCTTTTAACAAGGAGAAACTCGGAATAAGAGGTCATCTGCCACAACTGACAAGGGGTCAGCCAGCTGAGCCAGAAAGGAGGTTCCCATAAGACCCCAAATGAACATAATTTTCTGACAATGGCTATGTCTTCCAAAGAAATCAGACTGAACGTGGAATAAAAAAAAAAAACAAGTTAAGTGGAGCGATAAATTCAAATGCAGTGCAAATACTTACGTGATCCAGCTTACGTTTATTGCAGAATACCTACAGATGTAGTTCAGGAGAATCCAACCTAAGCCACTCTAACTGTAGCTGTGTGTCTTATTAAATTGATGTTTTTTCAGTTAAAGCAGTAAGCATGAAGATAACAGCCAAACAAGAGGAGCTGCGTCCAGGACAGGAGATTAATCTGGAGTGTCTTTCTGGGAGCAGCAACCCAAAGTCTAACATCTCCTGGAGTGTGGGCTCAGTGAGGTTTGTAAATGAGCCCAATGTGTAGAGACCTTTCACTGTGAAATGCCTGAAGAAAATTTAAAAGTTACATTTGGCACCTTTGTACAATTGTATTTGTAAAGATAAAATTAAATATGATGGAATGTGAGATGTTTATCATGGCTGTCAAGTTAACTTTTTGTAAACTTTAAATCAGAATCAGAATCAGAAATACTTTAATAATCCCAGAGGGAAATTACTTTTGTTACACGCTCCAGTTACAGTTTTTATATTTATATACACACATCCAACTACACAAGATAATAAAAATAAAAAAGAGATAAAATAGATACACATATAGCTCTTCTGTATATA